TTTAAATAAAGCTTTCAGAAATCTTTGTTACTTAAAAACAGGATTCCAATTTTTATGCTTTTAATATTATTAATGCGTAAAATCTACTGATTATTTATAAGTATATTTCCTTCTCCCTCTTTAAAAATTTCAATCATTATAACAAAATCTTATAAGATTTGGAACATAGCTTTCATATAATTTAAATGGTGTTTATATATTTATATACAGGGTATTTGCTAGTCTACTACACTAGAGAACACTTGCCATTCCTCGAGCATTTCTTAATTGCTTTCCAATTAAGCGCATTGAAAGTTTTGTCAATTTAAGAACTTTGATTGCTTGCTAACTTTTCCAGATACCCTTAAAGTTCCATCAATGTCTCATTATAAAGAGATCTCGGCAAGAGCTGAGCTCTCTATAATGCACTTATGCAATCTGCAGTCGGCAATCTGCAGTCGGCAATCGGCCATCGTATGCTAATTGCCGTGTCGATTGAATAATTGCTTTTCGTTGTTCTTGATTTTTTGTTCGCCTCAGTGCAAAGCACTTAACAGATTTGCAGCCGAGTCGAGGTCGATTCGAGGTGTTGCAATCTCAGAAGTTCGCATACTATTTAGCGCAACGTTCAATTTGATGGGTCGATGTAAATTGTAAAGCCTCGAGATATTTTTTCACAAACATCCATATCTCATGTGCCTGCAAAACGTCTCAATTTGAGTCCATTGATCGAAATGATTGGCGTACATATTTCGTTTTCTGTTTGTTATCTTAATTGGTTTGTAGTGAAGCAATTGATTGGCTTTGATTTCTCTGAGCTAAGAGAGATGAAGATGTTTTAGAGAAAAGTATCGTAGAGGCTGCAATTCTTTATTACAGTTGTCGCTTGGAAGACTGAATTGTTGAAAATATCATTTGGAGAAGTTGTTATGCTTAATATGTTTTCTATTCAGATTCAGAGTAGTGCATAATATATCTTTTTTATTAAAAATAATATATTTATTAAACATAATTTATTAAATTAAATATAAGATATCCAAGAATATTTCAGCGAAAACTAATTTTAATTTATATATAATGATGCATGATCGCATGATTCGCTTTATTCTTAGTTTTTTACTGATCATGTTTCCCATAAAACTAGGCAATCGTACGGCACTCATTATAGTAATTATTATTCAACCATTCATTTTTCAACTGATCAAAATATAACGAATTAATCCTTTATATATACATACAAACATTTTTAAAGAATTATGTATATATCAAAACTTTTGGTGAGTTGGAAAGCTGGTAACTAGGAAAGGAAGGAATATATAAGTATAAATATATTAACATTATTTAATATAGCACGTAGTTTTTCGCCTTTTATGGCAAATGTTTGTTTGAAAAGCAGAATGTACTATAAGCATAGCCTGAAAAGAGTTATATATGCATATTTACATACAAATACATATAAAGATATAGGCATAGCGTTCAGTCTCTTTTAATCTCCTCTTAGCCGTAGTCCTTTTTCTTGTTGCTCACTAGCTAAATAACGTTGAATAGACTTCGCGCTGGAGGCGTGTTAAGTGTTTAACTGAGGGAGCAACACAACTTGCAACTAAGTAGGTTACAGACAAAGCAATCGTGCAACAGCAGCAACAGCAGCAGCAGCAGCAACAGCGCCAACAGTAACAGCAACAACAAGAAAATTGTCTGTTTTTCAGCCATGTTGAATTGTTTGCCGCCAACGCCCACTTTTTGGTTACCAGCTAAGCCCGGAGCGGCACTTGTCGTCGTTTTTGTTGCCTGCCTGTCAGCCAGTCAGCCAGTCAGCCAGCCAGTGTTATACAGTCTTGTTGGGGAATGAGGTTAGAATTGATTTTTAGTTGAGTCAATTTCAGTGCATGATAGTGCAGGTTTTTCATCAACCACTTGGCACTTAACTGGGTTATAGGCAATTGTGCAGAAAGACCTCGAGTCTAAGGTAAAATGTGCCAAGTATAGCGAACAAATGATAGAGACTAGAAATAAATAAATAATAATAATTTGGATTCGCGATATGCATTGCATATTACACATATCATCTATCACTTGTCATCTATCATCCTTAACTATCAAATATCTTTTATATATTTATTATTTTTTATCTATCTCTATGATCTGTCCTTTTTTATCTATCATATATCATCTGCCATCTATCATCAATAATCCATATCTATAACTTATGGCATAGACTTAAATGTCGCAGATAATATAATGTGTATTATTTAAGATCTCTATAATAAATCTTTTCATTCTCCTTTTCCTTTCCATTTCTAATTTGAATACTTAAAAGGTCATTACTATAAATAAACCTTATTTTCTTATCCTTTTCTTGGCATCGATATTTATAAATATTCCTTGCCATTTTTACCACTGACTTTCTCCATCTAGTTTGACGTTCGAGCGCACATCAATGTTTCAATAGTGTCAAGCGATGCGACAGCATCACAAATTGAAGTCCATTAAAAATTACTCTACCCTGAGAAATTGCTAAAAATAAAGACGAAAAAAAAAGAGGGATGACGTGCCTTAAGCTGTGTGACAGCCAGAATTGAAGGATGTCGCAGTTAGCGAGGGAGAGAACGGAGCGCAGAGCGCGAGCGTAATCCCATATCAATAAATAGACAAATATCACGTATGCTATAAACAGTTGAGAAAGAACTCTTGAGTTGTATCGTAAATCTCAGTTTAGCAAGTAGTGTAAGCGACGATTTAGCTGAACGTGCTTAGCTAAGACTAGAAAGCTAATGATAGGAAAATCAATTATTTTTTGACCAAACCTAATAATGATGATGAAAAATGATAAAACGAAATCCATCTTATTGGATAAGAGCACATGCTCTTGATATATATACAAAAAAAAACAAAAAATAGATAAATATATATATATATATACCTTAAATCGATTACCCTTTGAATTGAAGTACAGTAAAATGTGTTTTAGYCCACAGCTTATCGATTTTTCACTATTTTGTTCTATTTTCAATTCATTTAAAGATTTGCGATAAATTTTGATTTATGGTTTTACACTGACCTACGAACGCTGTCAAGCTACTAATATCAGTTAGTGCTACGATATTATCTAACAATTTATTATCTTTGTGTAGTAAATGATTTTTTAATATCTAAAATAAGCCTATCTAAGGCCTGAAAATTAAATACATAATAGGCTACTGCCTGGGTTGTGTATATACATATATATTTTTCATTTTATTTTATTTATTATTATTTTTTGTTTCTACTGTCCATTGTCTTTCGTTTAGGCCATAAAATATTTATGACAATTTTGCATTCACATTGTCTCTGATGGCGTTTACACACGATATCAAATGATTAGTCATATTTGTCTACTACTTAAGCCCAGGGGAAGCCTCGAGGGTTCGTCCACGCTAGTATAATTGTTATGCAATGCCTATCAAAAAGTAAATCAACTCTATATGAACAGTCCATATAACTGCCTGCTAGGCAGTGTCTAGTTGACTAGTTTGACTATTCGATTGTCAGAGAGAGGGAGAGCCGTGTGCTGTAGTTTACCCATATTTGATTCTATATTTAGGGCTGGCTGGGGCAATTTAGTTGGCCATCTAGTCGCTACCCATCAGGTACGTGACTATTTACTATGCAATCCAATCGATCGATACGCATTTAGAGTGTAAATATACAGCTTGAAATTGGAAATAATGAATGCAACTATGACTATAAAATTGATGGCACATTAATGAAAAGAATTATCAATCAATTGGATTATCTCAACTAAATGAAAATATATTAAAAGTCAAACTTGTATTACGATTTCCACTTGTTATTAGTATAAAAAATGTTTTTTTTTTTTTTTCAGTATATTTAACCTGTCGTTTTTCATATTATATGTATATAGTGATACTTTCATATACTGATATTTTTAGCATATGTATAACTTTCACATTTAGAATGATTATATAAATGTATCGTTAGTTGATCTGTAGTTTGCAATTTATTAAGTGCAGCTAGTTATAATATATATTTCAGTAACTATATTTAACGTTTGCCATGTCCTTGAATGCCCCTCAAATAACATGTTATTATAAAGCAGTACAATTATTTTTCACATCACATATAAAAGGCAGCCACACACGCAGCGTGTGCGCAATGCGTGAAATTTGATTGATTTGCTCAGCGCTTCAATTAAGAACAAACTAGAGCACGGAAGCGTTAGCTAGGCTATAGATATATAAGAATCTATGTATGTGCATACTTTATTTTATACATTCCTGATCTAGATAAAAGAGAGGCTTGCTTTTATTATAAATTAACCTTTCATTCACATAAAAATAAAATAATTGTATCTATAAATTAGTATTTTTTGTAATTTTTAATAACTTAATAATAAAG